AAGAGTCTCCAGTGTCCATTTCTCTCTTTCCCAACAACTGGGCATCTTTCTTTGTCTCTGTCTTGGAAAACAGACATTTGGAGGAAGTTCGCAACCAAAGTTACTAATTTCCAGCTCATGCAAATAAAGCAAGTATTTAAGAGATCAGAAGAGAGCATGTGTGCTTCCCTCCCCCAGCACTGCTTGCAAGTGGAAGAAAATGGTTTCATAATCCACCAGTGGAGAATGCTCGGTCCCAGGGCAAGGGACTAACAATACTGTCTCGGGAGCAGTGACACAGAATGAGAAAATGATCTTGAAACTGAATTCTGCTTCACACCTGGTTCCATGCTAGAAATGCAAGGGTTTTACTGTCTCGTTGGTCGAGAAGTATGGTTCTTGCTTGGGGATTTGTATTCAATTAGCATGTGACTTGTCCCGGATTCAAATGCCAGGCAAGCTCTTAGTTTTGCCAGGTCGCTTGATCAGCTTTTCGAAAAAAAAGCTGCACATCATGAAGTCAGACTTCTTGAAACAGGATTGAGCTTCAGCAGCAGAGGTGTCATTGTAGCAAACATGGCGTGTGTTGAAAATGAAAACAAGGGGTTCAGGAAGTTGACCCACACAATCTGACGTTGAATAAATCCTCCATCTGGATTATCACAAAGATTTGTTCGGGAAACCTCAGGAAGCAGAGACGCTATGTCATTGTAGACAATGCTGAAAAAGTGCAAGTGAAAGGTGCCACTTATGTGGAATGTCAGCGATGAAGATAGACTGGAAGGTTGAAAGCTGGTCTGATTGAAGTTTTCCAAGTCATGAACGGTCTACACAGAATCAATTAGGAGAAAATGTTCCAATGCATGGGAGGATCGAGAGTGATTAGGCAGAGGTTTATCGTCATTTGAAAAAGCATAAGTGACATCAGGTAAAATGTTTTCACACAGGGAGTGGTTCGAGTCTGTAATCGCTGTAATCACTGATTGCGACAAAGAGTGAGGTTCAATCGTGCTATTGAAAAACGAATTCGATGGTTATGCTAAAAGTAGCAATTTGCAGCGTCACAGGAAGTAGTCGAGAGAATGACCCATTTGCTCATTGTGGATAACCGGCAGAGCTAAGGTGGGCTGCATGACCTCCATCTGCACTGTGATAAATTTGTGATTCTGAGTGAAATCAGTGTTTGACCAGCAGCATCTGGGAAGTCAGACAAAGGTGATATTGACACAGCGGGACACATTGCACGACAAAATATTACACAACATGTCCATGCCACAGGGAGGACGGCGCTGTCTGAATCGGCGTGGGGAAATACTGCAGCGTATTCTGTGGATCAGACACAATGCACTTGCCCATTTAGGTCATGCCACAGTGGGAGAGCCAGAGAAGGCCAATCGGTTCATCATACCTGTGACAGTTTAGTTGGGGACAAAAGCTATATGAAATATATGATAGGTTTGTGTGGAATTGAAGTGTTTCCTGGAAGCGGGAAGCTCAGGTGATATCGGGTAACAGGTGACGGCAGGAGCAGTAAATACGTTGGAAAACTCTGATGTATTGAGTTCCGATTGATGGGCAGCATGCTTTCACCAGACCACGCTGTTACAGAAGATAGTGTATCATTGCCTCACAGCGACATGCTGTATCGAGGCAAATATTCAGCTATTCATCTGAGTTACAAAGCCGGAATTTCATTTTTTTCCAATGTGAGTGAAGTCTTTATGTAATATGGATTATATACAAAAGCCTTCCATTTTAATAAGTATGCTCCATCTCAGCGTGTTGCATGCTTCCTTAGCACTATATCTGTCATTGTATGTGCCGTGAGGTACTTTGCACCTTCTGCATGTCATTTACCTGACCCTTACCTTCTGGGTGTTGTGACGGAATGGGAATGTGAAACCAGAGTCAGGCTGAAAATATGCATGCTCATCTTCAAAACCGATGGAAAACTGACAAAAACACCAGTGGAAGGTTTTTTTTTTGGTGCATTCTGGATTATTTCCCTAAATCTCTGCTATTTCGTCTGCACTGAATAATTTCTTAACTTAATCTTCCACTTCATTTCAGCCATCCCTCACTTCAAACGGTACCATTGTCTTTATTTAGGTACAAAGCGCTTGTCTTAGATTCAAACTGCCCTCCGTCAAAGTAAACGTGAAACTCAATCACACTGTGATCACTGCAACGTAGAGATTCCTACACTCTGATGTCATCGATCAGTCCTGTTTCATTGTCCTCTTTTCTTGTAGAAAGTACTGCTGCAATGAAGTAATAATTTATCATGATGAAGGAGCAGCACTCGAAAGCTTGTCATTTTAAATAAACCCACTGGACTGTAACCCGGTGCCGTGAGACTTCTGATTGTGTCCACACCAGCCCAGCACCAGCACTTCCATGTCGTCATCACGAATGGGATTGTTTGAAAAAGTTGGAAAAGTAAGATAAACTGTCAAATTAAGTGATGTTAAAACACAGAGCGGGATGGTAATGAAAGAACAGCTATTGATAGTGTTCAGGCAAATTTGAATGTCATTGTACACGATTCCGGAAATGTTACTATCCCCAGACAAACGACAAGTAAGGAATGTAATGGTTGGGACAATCTTTATTGGGAACAACAACAACAACCTTCTGAGATTGTCTATGAATTCACTTTTTTCTGGTTTCAGATTTCCAGCATCCGTAGTTTGTTGTTACATGTTCGCTTGATTATCGTTTGGGATAAAATAGATTACCTTCCAGCGCCTTTCCTGCTTCTAAAACTTAGTCAGCAGTGATGTGGTCATGAAAACTTTGCCAAGAACAAAATAAGTTCCCAGACCAGGAATCGAATCTGGGCTGCAGCGGTAAGAGAACCAAATCCTAAGCACTCGACTACGAGGGAAAGCGTTCCAGCTATTGTCATATTTTCTCAATGACACTGCTTCAGCCTTTTCATTCTATCATTTATTTTGGCTGCAGATCAGTTCGTCCCCGTGGAGGTGCTGAGAGGCTTTTACCCCCGCCGAATGTAGAGTCTAGAACTGGACCGAATTATTCGGATAATGCATCTGTCCCTTAGGTCTGAGATAAGGAGACATTTCTTTCCTCAAAATATGATGAGCTGTTAGTCTTCGAAATAGAATTCCTAATCCTGAAGCAAAGAAAAAGCAACGCCACCACAATCATACGATTGCAATGATGTCTTTCCTGTCGGTGTAAAGTGAATGAATGTTGAAGGCACAGAATGAAGGTGATCAGCTCGTGGTATCTGTGCCATCACCACAACATTCCCCAGTAAGGCTGCAGTTTATACTGCCTCACCCTATCGTTTCGACCAAACTCCAAGAAGAAATGCGCGATTCGATCTATTGACATTGCTGATTGGATCAAAATCATTGCAGTTGAGGGAAGATTACACGTGGAGTGGTGGATGCAAAGCGTCGACAGGGGTGGGATCATGATCCGAGGATCTCCTGTCAACTAGGTAATCAGCTAAGCCATGGCGCCCATCAGACATCACACAATGGGGTAGAATTTACTACCCATCCCCAATTTCTGCAGAGATGGCGGTGACGAAATACATTATTGAACAATTGAATTATTTAGCACGTAGGAACAGCCGTGATGCCGTTAGGGAGGGAGCTCCAGGATTTAGACCCAGCGACACTGAACGAACAGCGACATATTTCGTACTCAGAATGATGAGGAGCTTGGAGAGGGATGTGCAGTGGTAGTTTTCCCGTACATCACCTGTCATTGTCCTTCAACATGGAGGCAAAAATCTCATTGGTCTGCTTTTGGCAGATTCAGTGTTTGTGTTCTGTATGTAACCAGGAATTCGTTTTCATTCGGATAATTCACAAGAAGAGAAGTCAATCTTGATTTGCTGACAGGGAATTGTATCCAGGCCCGAGCGATGCAAACTCTGGATGCTGACCGGGGAGCAGTGATCTTGGCAGTCACCCTTGTGATCTGATTTATACACACACTTGTGCGTGTTATTCACTCCAGAGCAGTCTTGAGCAGCAAAGTTTCTCTCTCCAAGTTTCTAAACGACTCATATTGTCGCAATGGGATTCAATGTGAAGAAAACGGAGCTGTGACAATCTGATGTTGTTCAGCAGATGTACTGCAGGAAAGTATAAAACTGGCTGATGTTAACACGGACAACAAGGTGTAGAGCTGGGTGAACACAGCAGGACAAGCAGCAAAGCTGACGTTTCGGGTCTAGACCCTTCTTCAGAAATGCATTCAGCTGAATGTATTTCTGTAGAAGGGTCTAGGCCCGAAACGTCATCCTCCCTACTCATCTGATGCTGCTTGGCCTGCTGTGTTCATCCAGCTCTACACCTTGTTATCTCAGATTCTCCAGCATCTGCTGTTCATAATATCTCTGAAACAATTTTAACTCCACTGCAAAGCCCATTTCTGAAGAAGGGTCTCGGCCCAAAACGTCAGCTTTCCAGCTTGGCCTGCTGTGTTCATCCAGCTCTACACCTTGTTATCTCACATTCTCTAGCATCTGCAGTTCCTACTACCTCTGAAACAATTTTAACTCCACTGCGAAGCCCATTTCTGAAGAAGGGTCCAGGCCCGAAACGTCAGCTTTCCTGCTCCTCTGATGCTGCTTGGCCTGCTGTGTCCATTCAGCTCTACACCTTGTTATCTCAGATTCTCCAGTATCTGCAGTTCCTACTATCTCTGATGCTGACAGGAGCTTGTTTCGAGGCGCTGAGTTCCGGTGAAGGGGCGGCACCAATTAAGGCATCGTTCAACTCGTCTCATTCCAGAGCACTGGCGAGAAACGACCAGAGATTTCTCACTGAATTTTTTCAGGGCCTTGAATCGAAGAGACCGTGACTCAAATATGAACGTAAATTTGATTGTACTGGGCCATAACATTGCGCAGTGACGGTGATTAAAAAGATTGCAAGTTCCAGCAGAGAAACAGGTAACAGTGAATTGATTGGATCGCTGGGGTTTGGAAATTGAAATTTACACGTAAGCAACACGATTGTGGGACTATTTCAGCTCACTGTCCATTTCATAACCTCGCTCATGGCAACTGTCAATTTGCAAGGGTAGAAAAGCTGCCAACTTCACTCGATCGAGGGAGGATCCAATATTGCAATCTTCCAATCCAATGTCAAACGCGTTATGCATTACACCGGTGGCTCACAACCTGTCGCTGCATTTTTCATTCTGTCGAATTGTGATGTTAATAGGGACGTCAGCGGAAAGAACATTCACGAGGTGAATAACCAGCTAAGATAATCGCTGTCACTCCTTCACTTCGATGGTCTCCACTTTGTGAAGCCGTGAGTTTCAATGGTAAACGAAGTACATTTGTCCTCAGGTGTCTGCTTCACTGTGACATGTTTCTCCTCTGGAACTTGCCAACGTTTCATTCACAGTCACTGTGTCATTTTATATCCCGTTCCAGTGAAATGTACGTTCACATTTGAGTCATGGTCTCTTCGAGTCAAGACCCTCAACAAATTCAGCGAGAAACCGTTGTCGTTTTCAGCCAGGGCTCTGGAATCAGACGAGTTGAACGATGCCATTATTGGTGCCGCCCCTTCATCGGACCTCAGCGCCACCAAACAAGCTCCTGTTAGCGTCAGGCTGTTTTGTAGTTCCTTGCAGTACATCTGCTGAACAACATCAGATTATCACTGCTCTGCATCCTTCACACTGAATCCCATGGCAATAATATGAGTGGTTTGGAAACTTGGAGAGAGAAACTTTGCTGCTCAAGATAGATCTGGCGTGAAGATCAAGTGCAACTGTGTGTACAAATCAGGTCACAAGGGTTCCTGCCGGGATCACTGTTGTTCCCTGGTTAACATTCAGAGTTTGCATCGCTCGGGCCTGGATACCATTTCCACGCAGCAAATAAGTTTTGACTTCTCTTCTTGTGAATTATCTGATTGAAAACGAATTCCTGATTACAAACACAGTACACACCCTGAAACTTCCAGAAGCAGACCAGTGAGATGTAGCCTCCATGTTGAAGGACAATGACAGCCGATGCATGGTGAAAATACCATTGCAACCCCCTCCCCCAGCCACCCACGCCTAAGAATCTCAACATTCGGTGTTGGAAACATGTCGCGGTTCCTACGTGCTAAGGAGTTCAAGTGTTCAAGGAAGTAACTCATCACCTCTATCTCTGCGGTAATTAGAAATGGGCAGTAAATCTTATGCCAGTGAGTGACGTCCAAATCCGAGGCATCCGTATTCAAAAGTTGCAATTTCTAATTGCACGCCTGCAATTGGTCAGGAGCAAGTTTAGTTTGAACAGGTGAAATGATCAGTTTTAAACCAATGCAAGAGGAGATTGTTTCTTTCTGTGCACTTTCAGAGGAGAAGCTTCAAATGTGAACTATCCGTGTTTGCAAAAGCGGGTATCATTGAAACTGTCACTCAGCAAAATTGGTACAGAAAACCTGTTCCTGATTGCAAGCTTAACGTAATGTATGTATCGATGGGGTGCAGGGCAAACAACTGGCGCCGTAGCTTACTTGGTCAACGCGCCTGCCTAGTAAATAGGTGATCCTGGGTTTAAATCCCAGCGATGCCTAAACTTTACGTCTACTGCTCCTCGTTTAAAATTTTTCTTATGATCCAACAAGCGATAATTGGGGGATGGAGCACAGCATTCCTTCATGGAGTTTCGTCGGGACAACAGGTTGAGGCAGGATACACTGCAGCCTGACTGAGCAACGTTGTGGAAATGACACAGACACCACGAGCCGATAACCCTCATTCTCTGCCGTCGACATTCATTCACTTTCCACCGACAGGAGAGACATCATTGTAATCGTATGCTTGTAGTGGCGTTGCTTTTTTTTTTGCTGGTGGATTAAGAATTCCATTTCGAAGTCAAACAACTCATTATATTTTGAGGGAAGAAATGTCTCCTTACCTCAGGCCAATGGACAGGCACAGTCTCTGAGTAATATTAGCCCAGTTATAGACTCGACAGCCGGCGAGGGCAATAGCTCTCAGCGACTCGACTCTCAAACACTCTCCGAATTTCAAACTTTTCAAAGAGCAGAAATCAGAAATGAGAGATATGGATAGACGGAGGGTGGGAGAATTTGAAAGGGGCTGAAGTGGTTGCACAGAGACAAAGTGAGGCAAATAGAGACATATATTGAGGCAGATACTAAAAAGAACCATTTCGCGATTCAACATGGCTGCTAACTGACAGAAAAGGAAAGGAAAAGGCAACCATTTAAGCAGAACCTTTCCCCACTTCAGGGCAACAGAAGCAGCATTACAGTCGATAAAGTACTTTTAGAACGGAGAACATAGAGCAGTGCAGCACAGTGCAGGTCCCGCGGCCCACAATGTTGTGCCTAACTTTTACCCTAAAAGTTCTCATTGTATGGAGAACTTGCTTGCTTTTAAAGTTGTAAAGTTGACGGTTGGAAACTAATGAGATATTTTGATAAAAATGCTGATTCGACAGATAAAAGTGATAATTTCACTGACATTATAATACAGGAGTGAATAACTAACCTGGTCCTGATGAACCCTCAGTAGATCTGAAGCATTAACTCTGTTTCTCTCCACAGATGCTGCCAGGCCTGCTGTGGTTGCCTATCAATGCATTTTTTTTGTTTAAGATTTCCAACTTCGGCAATTCTTTGCTGCTGGTTAGCTTGAACGTCGTTTGGGATAAAATAGGTTTCCTCGCAGCTGCTTTCCTGTTTTTGAAAACCAGTCAGCAGTGCTGCGGTCACGAAAGATTGGCAACTGTGAACTTGCAATCCTTGAGTCGGGATCGAACCAAGGCCGTGGTGGTGAAAGCATCAAATTCGAACTATTTCACTGCAATGGAAGTCACAGGGATTCTCGTTGAATGACACTGCTTTCACTTTTCCATTTTTGCTCAGTTTTTATTGTGGATCAGTTTCTCCCTGCCTTCAATGTTTATAGCGTGGAAATAGTCCATTCGGCCCATCATGTTAGTGCGTGCCAAGAGGCATCCATTTATTCTGGCCCCAGTTTCCAGAATTTGCCCATGGTCTTGTGTGACGTTTCGAGAGAAAATTCAATGAGATTATCCCTGCAATGAACCGATGGGACTGAGGGTTCGTGGTCGTGCAACTGTGTTACAACCCACTTGAGGGGTTCATCCTCATTTTTAGCCACTGGGGGAGATATACAGACGTCTCCCAGAGGGTGACAGTAGTCTCAGGATGAAACCGGCTACATGTGCTTCACGTTCACTCTCCGTCCCCACACACTTATCCCCGACAAAAGACAGCTTTACGTAGAACACAAGCAAGTTCTCAATGAAAACTGATGTTTTTAGCTCGTATATGAAACAGACAATGAGATCAAATGGTCCTACATGCTCGTCGTGTGCAACTTTTAATTTCCAATTACTTTAGCTCCTGGGAAACTGACAACAAAAAGGTCCAGCACACATTTCTCTTTGGAAACACGTGTCAATTTGCAAGGATAGAAAAGGCGTCAGCTGTGCTTGAGCCAGGTAGGACACAAACCTATAATCTTCTGATCTTAAGTCAGACGTGTTATCCATTACGGTACTGTCCCAAAACCCAATGCCAAGTGCTACATCTTGTCGAGTTGCGATGGTAACAGGGTCCAAGGTGGATTTTGTCATTCACGCGGTAAACACCAGCAGAGATATTCGCCGTCACTGCTTCACTTCAATGGACCCCACTTTTCGAAGCCGTGAATTTCACTGGCAAAGGAAGCACTTTTTTTTTTTTCAGGTGCCTGCTTCGCTGTCGCCTGCTTCTCTGCTGAAACTCAACGTTAATTTATCCACAGTCACTGCGCTAGTTTATGACCCAATCCAGTGAACTTTCATTCTTTGAATTATGATCTCTTCCACTCAAGACCGTGAACAAATTCAGTGAGAATCCTCGGGTCCTCTCCAGCCAGGGCTCTGGAATCAGACGCGTTGAATGATGGCTTTATTTGTGCAGATCCTTCACCGCAGTTCAGCGCCTCAAAACAAGCTCTTGTTCGCATCAGCCTTGGTTTTATACCTTGTTGCTATACATCTACTAAACAACATCAGCTTATCACGGCTCTGCCTTTGTAAACATAACCTTTGCCAAGTTCCCACATTCTGTTGATCCAATCTGATTCCACTCAAAATCACAAAATCATGAACAAAAACAAAGTTGCTGGAAAAACTCAGCAGGTCTTTCAGCATCAGAGAAGAAAAAAAAATCCGAGTTAAAGTCTCGGGTTAGAACTGAGGAAAGGTCATGGAACCCGAAATATTAATTTTTTTTTCCTTCATAGATGTTACCAGACCTGCTGAGCTTTTCCAGCAACTATTTCTGCTCTCGTTATTCGCGACTGAAACAGCGTGGATAAATATTGCAGGGAATGGAATAGAAACTGGAAGCAATATGGTTCAGGTTCATCAGTTTAATCCCATCTCAGACAAGAGGTTTTACAACTCAGTTCAGAACAGGAGGAGACGATTAAGACCTTGACGAGCGCATCATCTCACCTGTGTATCAATCCGAAAGATATATTTCAGATGCATGAAACCGAAAGGTGATCATGACGCAAGGCATCGAACAAAATATCAGGTATCTTTAATGAATAGAAGAGGACGGTTTTGATTTATCAGACGCCTGGTTAATGGGCCCAGCACGCTCCTGTGGAGCCACTCTGCTTTTGAAGCCAGTCTGTTTCTTTTAATTTGGCGTGTGGTATGTACATTCAAGAATGAATTCAAAAGATTTTATTGTTGATGTGTGATACTCTGTTGCGCAGATGTGTCTCGCCTGTGTAAACATTATCTTTGTCTAATTTCCCAAATTCTGTTGGTCGAACTCTGATTTCACTCAGAATCACAAAATGTGTCACAACGCAGACGGATACCATGCAGCCCAACTTAGCGTTGGCTGCTCTCCAAAATGAGTAAATGAGTATCTCTTTTAATGTTATTCTCTTGCCTTCTCCGTGTAACCCTGCACATTGTTACTTTTAAAATAATCAGCGGATTCCCTTTTGTATCAATTGAATCTGCGTCTTGGATAATTTCGGGCAGTGATTTACAGAACCTCTCACTCTGTTCAAAGCTTCAAACAGACCAGCTTTCAGCTTTCTGTTCTCCAAGGAGAGCTTTCCCAAATTTCCAATCTATCTTCATTGCTGAC